GTTTTTATAATTTATAAAGATCTTAATAAAAATATTAATATACTTTAATTTAAAATACTAGTATTTTAAATAGCGAATAATAGCTAATAGCTTCTTATTATAGATCTAATAATTATATTTAATTAGAATAAGATTCTTACTATAAAAAGCTATCGAGTATAAGATTTTATCTTTATTATACTAAGATAGAATATTATTATTAATATAATTAGAGAAGTTTATTTTAAGTATAATATTCTTCGATCTATCGAAATAGCGTAGAATTAAAGCTCTTATAATAATTATCTTTAATAAATAAAAAGCTTTTTAATAGGTCGATAATTAATTAAATATTACTTTCTTAACTATAAGTTTTATTATTAATTTTATAATCTTTAAGAAATCTCTTATAAATCGATAATAGAAGTTATAAAAATTAATAAAGATTTATATCTTCTTTAAATTAATAGAAGTAGATTATTTAATAATAGCTTAAATTTTAATAAAGTTTATATAAAGATCGTTTTTTAGATATAAAACTCGTATTTAAGAATATCTATTTATAATCGAGTCTCTTATAACTTTTAAAAAATCTTTTAAATATATAATATATATTTCTTTCTCGATTAATTATAAATAAGAATATCGTCGAGATAGACTTAGTAGAAGTCGTTTAGATATTTAAATAGAATATTATTTATATATTATTAATAGATAATTAGACTATTAATTAGATCGAAGAAGAGTATTTAATACTTATATATATCGAGAGAGATAACGAATATAGTAAAATTCTTACTATTAAAGTATATATATAATTTATTAAATGCGGCTATAATATCTAATCGAGTAAGATATTTATAATCTTAAATTCTCGCGAGAACTTTATTTATTAATAAAATTAGATATTAATTTCTTTTAATAATAGTATTTAGTCTTCGATAGTTTATATAAAAGCGTAGATCTTTATTTAATTTCTTAGTAAATAGAATAGATAATGCGAATAAAGTATAACTAGATATTATAAAATCCGTTTTTAAATACTTATCTAAATACTTCTTAATTTATTTTAACTTATATTCTAATATAGAATAGACTTAACTCTTCGATAATTCGACGATATCGATCTCTATAAATTTTAGTTTATAATTATAAAAACGATATAATAGTAGTTTATTTATCTTCGTTCTATTAAAAATATTTAAATAATTATAATATTTCGCGAGGAGTTTTCGCTTAATATCTTTAAAATTAACGATTTTAATAGCGCTAATTTAAATAAAATAATTCGATTTATAATATCTCTTTTTTTTTTTTTTTAATTATAAGAATATAGCTTATTAACTAATATATAAGAATTATATAATTTCTTCTAAGAAGATAACTTCTTTAATAATAAGTTATAGATCTCATTTATAATAAAAATAAATAGTCGATTTCCCTTATTACGCGCTAATTAATAATATAATATAATATTAATTTTAATAATATTAATAAATTATAGATTTATATCTTATTTTTATCTTATATCTTAAAGAGTAGATATTAATTTCTTTTTATTAATTAATTTATTAAAGACGTTTAAATTAATAATAAAGTTCGAGTTATTATTATATATAGATTAGAGAGAAGGTTCTTTTCTTAAGATAATCTATAAAATAAAAGATTTCGAATTTAATAAGATAGCGAGATTCTTCGTTATTAAGATCTCGTTATTATTATAATTATAGCGATCTAATATAAAAAGAATCTTATCTTTTATTATATTAAGAAGTATTCTATATTTATTTATTTATAATTTTTTTAAAATTATATTATATATAAGAGAGGCGATAAATATAAAATACGTTTTCTTTTAATAGCTATTTATTATTATTATTAAAAGTAAATAATAGATAATAGACTTTATCGCGATTCGATTATTATAATTTTTTAAAGATTTAGATTTTAATAGTAAAATTAATTTTAATAGTAATTCTTTATAAATTCTATAAAATGATTTAATAATTATATATATTTTAATATATTTATTATTAATAAGAGTATTTTAGAGTAAATATTTTTATACTTATAACGATAATATAACTTATATTCTAAAAGAACGAAGTATTTAATAGATATACGTTATAGATCCCTTATCGTAACTTTAATAGAGATTATTCGTTTTTTAAATTTTTAAAGACTTCGTAAGCGTTAATTAATAGATTTATCTTATATTTATTATTAATAATAAATTTATAAATTCTTATCTTTTATAAGATCTTCTTATTAGTATTAATCTATTTTTATATTAAATAATTATATCTTATATAGCTTATCTTTCTATAATTAAAATATATTAAATTTCTTAAATCTATATTAATTATCGCTTTCGATATATTTTAAAAGATATTTAAAATATAAATATTTAATATAATAGCGAAAGGCGTATAATTCTCGATTATAGCGATAATCGTTTTTCTTATTTAAGTTATAATAATTTTAAAAATTATTTTATTAATAATTAAAGCTAGACGTTATTTATAGTCTACGCGCTATAAATTATTATTATCTATAAAATATTTCTTAATATTTCTTAATATTTCTTAATATTTCTTAAAGATATAAATTTATAATTAGAAAGAATTATAAAAACGAAGTAAAGTCGAATATATATTTATAGTTTAATATTAAAATTATCTTTTAAATAGATTTTATTATAATTAAGTATAAAATTAAGTTTAATAAGTTTTATATAAAATCTATTAAAGAGCTAGATTATCTATTAAAGAGAATTATAATTATATCTTATCTTTTTATAATAATTTATCTCTTTATAAATCTTAATTAATTAATTTATAATCTCGCTAATTAATATATAAAGATTTATAATATTTTTATATCTTCTATTTAGAATATAAAAGATCGCTTTTCTATTTATTTTTAATAGAAAATAAATAATTTAAAATATCTCGATAGAGTAATAATTCTTATTATTTAATAACTTTTTCTTTATTTTAACTAACTAATTCTCTTATATAAAATTCTTATTATTAATAAAAAAGAGAGAATTTAGTAATTTAATAGATTTCTCTTTTCTATAAATAAAAAGTAGAACTTAAGTAAGCTTTAATAAAGTTAACGCTTATATCTTAGAGATAATTTATAAATCTTTAAGTATATCTAATTATATTACTATTAGCTATTATCGAAGCTCTCTATTATATTTTTATAACTTTTTAATCTTAATATTAACTTACTTTAAGCGTTATTAAATCTTATTTTATTAATTTACTATCTTATTCTTTTTAATTTTAAAATTAATATATTATTTAATTATATCTCGAAATTAATCTTATTAATAGCGAAGATTACGAAGTATAATAAGAAATTAATTAGACTTCTTATCGATTTAATAATATAACTAATTAATATTAACGATTTATTAAGAATTTATAATAATCTCGATATTCTCTACTATATTATTAGATAATAAGAATTATTAATAATTAAATATCTAAATAAAAAGATTATTAACTCGATTTATCTTACTTAATTATATATTTAAAATTTATAATAATTTTAAAATAAAAAAAAGAGAATTACGTTATTTCTCTTAAGTTTTTAATATTATAAATACTAAGCGAAGAAGAAAAAGAAATCTTTTCTTATAATATCTTTTATAAGGCTTTACTACAAATTCGAAAAATAATATTATATAAATTTTTTTTAATATTTTACGAAGATTTTTTTCTTAATTTATAGATTATTTAAACTATTATAAAAATTATAAATAATCTAAATATCGTTCTTTTAAATACTTTTACTTCGCTTAGAAAATTAATTATATAATTATTAAATTAAATAATAATTTTTTTAAATTTATTAGTCGTATAAATAAACTAGTTTAATAATTACTTTATTTCTTTAACTAGTTATAAAATCGTTATACTATCTCGATAGATATTCTTTATAATATATTATCTGTATAGTAGATTTATCTAGAGATATAATAATTTAACTTAATATCTTATTAAAGCCTCTATTAATAGATTTCTTAAATTTATTTATTAATTTAAATATAATAAGTAAGATAACTTAGTTATAGTATTAGAATTAATATAAATATAATATTAATATAAATATATTAAATAAGATAATTAGATATCGAATAATTATATAAATAAAAGATATTAGATAGTAGTAGATAGCTCTACTAAGATACGCTAGGCCTTAATAGGTTATAGGGCTGAATGATATATTAAGGGAGATGTAGGGTACGCTTATAACATACTTAACAGGCATGGAATGCTTAGCGGGTATAAAATGCTTGACGGGCATGAAATGCTTGGCGGGCATGAAATGCTTGGCGGGCATGAAATATTCGGCGGGCATAAAATATTTAGCGAGTATAAAATGCTTAGCGGGTATGATAAAAACCTAAGTCTTTAGATCGCGGAGGTCGCTTTTCTAAGGGGGATCTTTTATACCCTCTTAGAGGATTTAGTTATACTAAAGACTCTTATAGATATATTCCTTAATAATTTTTTGGGCGCCGCACTCAGGTATTCTGGGGGCAATTTATGTATGATTTTCTTTCAAAATTTGGGGCGTTGAGGGCTCTTTTCTTCTTCTTTCAAACTCGGGGCGCTTAACACCGCAGCGAGTGATTGATCCAATCCGGGGCTGGGAATCTCGAGAGGCGATGCATCCGGCTGGGCCTTGGCCGCCTATAAAACCCTCTGCGGGATAACCCCCGTATTGTGCCCGGTATAAAGAAAGATCTCGAGCTCTCATCAATATATATTGCGCTGTGCGATCGATATGAGGAAGTTCTTAGCGTTTACTTATAAAAGTGGAGACACTCCTTAGGGCCAAACGTTGACAAAGTCCCCTTCTCTTCCCTATGCGTGCTCGCTAGGGAAAATAATTATAGAGGAGGACCGACTAGACAAACGACCAACGGACACGCCGAAATGACCCTCCAAAATCTGCCGCCCTCAATCTGGCCCTTACAAACCCCCTTCCACCCCCTCCTTTCATCAGTAATCATCCACCCGTTCAACTATTCGGCACACAGAGGAGACACGTAACAACCTCTCATAGAACCACTCATGGAACTCGTCCCTCACTTCGCGCGCCCAACGCTCCTCCATCGGCACAGCAGCGGCGGCGGCGGCGGCGAATGTCATATACATCTGTTCCAAGATATGCACCACCTGCGCGAGATACGTGTGCGTGTGATGTGAATCTGTGAGTTCTTCACATTGATGGTATATTGCTGCCTCCTTTTTTCCACTGCTATAAGGGAAAGAGGGGGAGGAGATGAGATGATGATAGAGCGTCTGATTTTCAAAGGCGATGTCCGTCGGAGGTATTGCCATGGCGTCTTGATCAAGAAGCTTGCCTGTCTGTGTCGTATGAGTTGATGTCATTAAGGGAGAGGAGGATGGCTGAGAGATATCATTGCGAGTGCGGCAGCGGGGGTGGTGTCGTTTCATCTCCTTCTCGTCAAATTTGTCAGTGAAGGGTATGAGCCTATCGTAACTTGCGGGTGTGTCCGCTTTTGTTTCTGCTCGGGCGGCCCGGACGGCTAGCTTATGGGAGTGATGAAGTGCGGCGCGAGCTTCCTGGGGGTGGGAGCAAAGGTTTTGGTTTTCGAAGGCGCCGTAGAGGTCCTGGGAAAGGAAGATGGCTAAGGTGAAAGCGTGAGGGTGACAAGATGCCGTGAAGGCTGCGAGGGCGGCTAGAGTAATGTTTGGGGGATGCTGCTGGTTGGACACGTTGAAGGAATGAAAGATTTGGTGGTGAGTTGAGGGGTTGATGATTTGGCTAAGGGCGAGCTGGAGGTTAAGATTGCGCCGTTTCTTGCTAAGGGGGAAGGATGGCGTTGCGGAGATATTGTTGCAGGAAAGAATAGCAACTGAGGACTCGTACTGAATGATCATGTAGCAGGCCGCCACTGCGACGGCGAGAAGGGTAAGGGTGAGAAGGGCAAGGGCGAGAAGGGCAACGGCGAGAAGGGTAAGGGTGATCTTAGAAATACGTAGCCAGTGGAACTGTCTTCGACAACCCAGCGGCCAAGGCATGATGTGGCAAAGCTTTCCAATCGTAAGCCATCTTCTTGAATCACTACTCGCACTGCTTATAGGGGTAGCTTCCTCCCTTATGAAGCCAGGCCCATTGACGCCTTGATCGTCTCCTTCTCCTTCTCTTTCTCTTTGTCCAGGGTTTGACGTTTCGCTCTGCTCTTGGCCTGTTGCCGTTATCGGTACCGGGGCAGGAGAGCTACGGTCCTCGACTGCAGCCCATATTTTTGCCATACTGCGAGGAGACATAGCGAGGATGAAGCATCTCTCTAGCCTAGGTATGTCGCTAGTATGCGATAAGGGAAGTAGGGATGGGCGGCATCGTACATGTATGCTAACTGTTGCTGGAGTCAGTAGTCCTTGGGAAGAATTTGAGGCTCGGGAGGACGTACGGAGGGCATTCAGACGAGCTTGCAAGGGAGGATAACTGGAGTGAGCTTGTAGAGTACACGTAGAGTATGCGCAGTGTCTGTGAGGGAAACAATGGCAAATGGCGGAGATGGAGATGGAGATGGAGATGGTAAATGCGTAACTCCTCCCAAAGCCGTTCCCTTATCGTCGCGTTCAGCAGTCATTTCTATTTCCATTTCCATTTCCGTCGGAGTATCCGATAACCGCCGAGCCGAGGCAATATTTTAGCTTCAAAAACCGCGTCTTTCAAGAACGCGACTTTTTTACATCCTTCCTTACGGAGGTCGGCACCAAAAGTCCTAGACATGCCAAGACAAGGGTCCAGGTAGGGCTGAGTGCTTGGCATACTTCCAAATTTTATGGATAGCATTATTATTCTTTATTTTAATAAGTATTAATACTCTATATAATAGCGATATAGTATATATATATAAAGTATAAATATACGAAGTATATATATAATAGCGATATTAATAGAATATATAATAGTAATAATATTAAAGTATTAATTATAATATAAAGAAATAGAGAAAGAGTATAAAGACTTTTAATATATAAGTCTTATTTATATAATATAATAAATAGAAATCTTCTTATTATTCTCTATCTTAATTATCTTTTATTAATATATTTAATACTTAAAGTATTAATTATAATAATAAGACTCGAATTTAAATACTTATTAAGTCTTATTAATTATAAATAAAATATTATATTATTTAAAAAGATATATTAAAAATTTATAAGAAAGTCGAAAGATAATAACTATATTATTAAAATTATAAGCTTATTTAATAAATAATTTAGAAATAAATAGAGTAAATATCGAGATATATTATAAAGATAATACGTTTTAAAGATAATAACGAGTATAGAAAAGATTATAAAAAAGATAATATATAATTATACGACTTCGTCGAGCGAGCTAATAAGTATATACGTAATTATATAAAGTATTATTATTAAATAAATATAACTATATAGAAAGTATTAAGAATATTAAGAGTATTAAGTATTTTAACGCTATTTAGAACTTTTAATATCGATCTTCGTACTATTTTATTAAATATAATCTAATATAGTTAAAATTACTACTCTATCTTAGTCTAATAAAGACGAACTATATAAGATCTAGAAACGTTAAAAAAAAGAGGCTACGATCGAGATAAGAAAGAAAAAACTTAAGTAACGTAATATTCTTCTTCGACGTATATCTATATTATTTAAATATTAACTACTATAAATCGAGTATCGTATATCTATTAATTACTTTTCGAATAACTTTATAATTCTCTTATATCTAGTATTTAATCTTATATAGACTACTATTATCTAGATATATACTTTATAAAAATATAAATTTATATACTTCTCGATAGAGTTCTTTAGATTCTTATTAAAAATCTATCTATATTTTAAAGCTAAAAATCTTCGTCGCTATTATAATCTATATAGAAATCTATTACGAAGAGTAATATTAAAAGTTCTATATATACGCTAAATCTCTTAATATATTTAATATTTTAATATTTTTCTTAAATAGCTTTATTTTTCTAGTAATAATACTTTATATAGCTATATATATACTTATCTACTCGCTTTATAGAGTTATAGAGCCATATATTATCTTTCTTATAATCTTTTCTATACTCGTTATTATCTTTAAAATAAATAACCTTTATAATATATCTCGATATTCGCTCTATTTACTTCTAAATTCTCTTTTATATAAACTCGTAATTTTAGTAATATAATTAATATTTCTCGATATCTTTATAAGTTCTTAATATATCTTTTTAAGTAATTTAATATTTTATTTATAATTAATAAGACTTAATTATATTAAAATTCGAAGAGTTATTATACTAGAGTATTTAAATAATATTTATTAATATATAAACTACTTTCTAATATTTTAATATATAGACTAAAGTCTTATCTTCTATAACTATTATATTAAATTACTCTTATTTACACTTCTAAGCGAATTTTAAAAACTTTAAAATAAGAATCTATATTTAATAAGAAGAAGAAATATAAGAAATATAAGCGTATATATCTTTTTCTGATAGCGATATCAATTAATTCCTCTCTTTTTTCTCTTAATAATAACTTTTCTAATCTTAATAGTAAACTTCCACTCGGGTTTCTTGCTAGAAAGATTTCGTAAACCTATTTATTATATATCGATCTTAAGTTTTTAAACTTCTTTAATCTTAGCTTTTAAAGTATTATTAATTTTAGCGAAATTCGCGATATATTCTTTCTTTTTAATTATAGTTTCGACTTTTTAAATATAGTATAACCCCTTCTTATTATATAAGAAATAACCCTAGAATATAAACTCTATAGTATCTACGAAACGACGTTATATAGTAGATTTAATAAAGATTTTATTAGGTTATCGCTATACACGCACTTTTTTTATTAAGAATTTAAGATTATATTAATTTTATTACTTTAAATTATCTTCTTTTAATACTCTATAATTTAATCTTAATACTATAAAGCGAATTAATATCAAGCTTTCATTATAACTTTTATAAGAGAGAGTTTTTTAGTAATCTTATAGGGTCGAAAATTATTTCGTTTAAATATATATAGAATTATTATTAATAAGAGTTTTTATTTAGTAATTAATATAAATAAAGTTTTCTTATAGTTATAGCGATCTCTTTATATAGCGATTATAATAGTACTCTTAATCTCGAGAATAATAATTAAAAGTTATTTAGATCTTAATATATTACTTATATATAATAGTAATAATTTCTAAGACTTACTAGAATTAAATTCTCTATTACGAGCTTATTTCTATAAACGATTAATAGTAAAGCGAGAGATCTCGATAATAGTAGTAATAATTTTAGCTATAATATTAGCTTCGATTAAAGTAAGTATTTAAAATCTAATATCGTTATTATAATTAATAGCTTAAGCTTTATCTATAAATATTTTAATATAAAGAATATAAAGAGAATTACTTCTTATAGCTATATTAAGAACTTTATATATAATATAAAATCTTAAGATTCTCCTCCTTTTTTATAGGCTAATACGTTTAGTATTAATATCGTAATTTAATAAATATACTCTTTATATATAGCTATAACGTCGCTATAACGCGTATATACTTTATATATATACTCTTCGTATATATATATCTTATATATATAGTATTAATATCGCTATTAGATAAAAAGTAGTAATATTAAGAATATTTAAAATATTAAGAATATTTATTAAGAATATTAAGAGTTTTAATATATATATAAAACTTTTAATATTATTCTTTATACTTTTCTACTATTTATAATTATTAAAGAATTAATAATATTACTTTAATATCTTCGATTCTCACTAGCGAAATAGCACGAGATCGCTATATACTTCTTCGAAGAATAATTTATTATTTAGATTCTAACGAAGAGAATTCTTTTACTATTAATAAGAATAGATATAAAAAGTTTATATAATATAAAAAGCTTCTTTTATTTATCGATAAGATACGAAGTAATTAAAAGAAATTACGTACTTTAAGTTTCTATTATATAATTAATAAATATATAATTAAGAAGATAAGACGTACTTATTATTTTATTATAGCTTTAAATAAGCTAATTAAAAAGAAATATAAGATTTTTATAATTAATAATAAGAGCTATCTCTATAACTATATATAATATTTATCTAAATAAAATCTTAAGAGTAGATTTAAAGTTAAAGATCTCGAAGATATAAGCGCTATAGTCTTTAATTTAGTTACTAATATACTATCTTCTAACTTTATTCTCTTTATAAATAATTATTTTACTAAATTAAAGCTAATTAATAAGTTAAAGATTATAAAAATAGCTATATATAAGACTATAAAGCTAAATTAAATAAATCTTTTAAAATTACTTATAGAGATAAAATATCGATTTATAAAGAATATCTTATACGATATTCTTACTATAGTAATTTAGAATAATATTCTTATAGTAATCTAATAGAATAATAATCTTATTTTAGTTCTTATTACTATCTACGATATTAGAGAGATTAATAATATTATTATTAAAAAGAGAAAGCGTTTTAATAGAATAAGTATTAATAATCGTATTATCTTATCTACTTTTAAGGAGGATAGAAATAATATCTAGTAAAAGAATTTCGATATTTCGAAGATCTTTTTCTAGTATAATAGATATATAAGAGAGATTAATCGATTTAATATATTAATAACTAAATATTCTTTTTATAGAGCTTATAATCGAATATAAATACTCTAATTTTATTAAAAATTAAATAAAAGTCTTTCGAATACTTTTAAACTTTATAAATCTATAGAAATATTTTATTAGAAGTATTAGAGGTTTCTTAAATAGATAATAGTAGAATTACTTAAGAAAGGTAGAAAAGATAGACGATCTCGATAACCTTTTATCTTACTTTCTACTCTATCGAAACTAATATAAGATAATTATATATAATAAGACTTAAAGATTATTCGATAGTATTTTATATATCGATTAGATTATTAGAAGAAAGGATTTTAAAGATTTAATAAAGAAATAAGTAGTAATAGTAAGGGAGTACGAAAGATTAAAGAGGGATATATTATCTATAAAATCTCTTTATATAAGAAAGAAACTTATATAGAATAATTCTACTATAGAAGAAATTAAATAAAGTTTATATAATAGATTACGATTATTTAATATAAATTATATAGTAGTTTTATAGTAATAGTATAAATCATAATACTAGAATTCTTAAGTATTATCTCTCGGCGGTTATCGGCTTACTTTCTTAATACTCGAGACTTAAAATCTTAAATAGCTTCTACGCTAAGA